TACTATTGGGTCGGAGTGATAATTACTACATTCCATACATTGCAACAGTGTCTTTCTCATAGTTAGATTTAAATGACTCCTCAAATTTTAACTCCAAGAGAAAACAAATTACAAATGATTTTTTTTTTCCCTGCACCTTAGAAATTCCCTTTGACCAGTCATAGTAAATGAGCATCCTTCGTAACGTTAGGACAATTAACACTGTTAATGTGGGTGATACATTGTATTTGCTTACCTTGGACTACAAGAATGATACCGAAGAAAAAAAGGACCTTCATTCTCTAAACTAAAAAATGAAAAACAGCAATTCAATAATTAGCCCTTCAAAATAAATATTTTTGCCTCTTAAAAACATGACATAGATAATTTTCCAGGTTCAGTGTTATACTGAGTTAAGTTCATCTGTATATCATAATTCATAAGAATTAATTTTAGGCATTTTAAACTTGTGTAGTAACTCACAGTTATATTTCTGCCCCGAATATGAGCCCCGTTTCCTAGATTCATATTTATTGCCTATCCCTAACAAAGCACATTCTTGTGGGTAATATAGCTTCATTAATGATGGCATCATTCCAACGATGAAGAAAAAAGAAATTTATTCAATTCCTGTTCTTGGTCTTTCTATTCAATTTTTGTCAGACAAACAATTCAGTGAATATTGTATATATCATGACTTGAACATGTGAATGCAAATGAAGAAAAATTCATCTACTTGCTAATCATTTTGTCTACATGTAGTCATGTTGGGGAAATCCCTTGTATCAGCCCCTAAAATAAATCTTTGTATCACTATATGGTACGCAAATTAAATTGATGATAGCTGCCATGCCACCAAATAAGTCAAACATAATACACTAAACACTGTAAGAGGTAAGGAAACTCTGATCTCTACCACTTGTTCTGCTATGTATCTTAGTCATTAAACCAGTTCTGGGGAGTTATTGTTTGTTCATCAAGAGATATTCAGAATTAATGAGCATCATGTGCAAGAGATAATGTTTAATAGTTAAATAAAAACCAAAAGAATGTGCTCTGAAATAAGTTTGGAAGCTGTTTTGCAGCATTGTGATATCAAATGATAAGGCTTCAGCATTTAATCAGCGACATATGAACTCTGAGCTATTATTATTCTCTTGGAACAGACTCATTATTCAACATTTGACATCATTTCTAACATATGCACAAAACACCAATATTCAATAGCAAGTAATCAATTAACAGAATCTTTATTTGCAAGAAAAAATACACAAAAGATTGAAAATGAAAATGAGGGAAACAAAGAAGGATTATGAAAAATAACTAGCAGCTTACACAAAGGTGCATCCCAAAGTATTATAGACACTTAAATAGTAAAAAGACATTAAAATAAAGAGTAGGACGGGAGACAGGGATCATGACCAAAGTATTAAATTAATAATTTGTATCTGTCTTTGCCAAAGAAGCAGTTGATACCGAGAGCATGGTGACAGAGGAGGAAACTTAGTAACTAGAAAAGCTCAAAATTTATAGGGAGGAGCTATCAGATAATCTGTTGATAATCAGAGTTGACAATGTTTCTGGACCTAATGAGTTTAGTCAAACAGTATTGAAAGTAGTCAGAGTGGAAACTGCAGAGGCACTAGCCATAATTATTCAGTGTTTCTTGGGTACAGGGATAGTGCCAGAGGACTGAAGAATTACAAGCATTATGTTCTTGTTCAAAATTATTGTAAGCATAACCCCAGCAAAGAATCACACAATACAGGAGACACTATTTGGCCCATCAAGTCTGCACCATCGAAGCTACACTAAATCTATATTAGTCCCACTTTCCAGCATTATGCCCATAGCCTTGAATGTTATGACATTTCAAGTGCTCATCCAACTCCTTTTTAAAGGCTGTGAGGTTTCCCACCTCAACTACTCTCCCAGGCAGTGCATTCTAGTTTCTCACCACCTTCTGGGTGAATTTTGTTTTCTTCAAATCCCCTCTAAACCTCTTACCTTTCACCTTAAAATTATGTCCCTTTGTTGTTGACCCTTCCAGTAAGGGGAATTACAGACCATTTAGTTTAACTTCAGTAGTGGGGAATCTCCTAGAATCAATCATTTCAGTTAGAATTTGTTTAATTCGCTCCAGTAAGAACTTCAAAAGGACATAGACAAGTTCATGGAGTGGGCATACTGTTAAAAGATGAAGTACAATGTAGAGAAAAGTGAGGTAATGCACTTTAGTAGAAAGAGCATGAACAGACAATATAAAAGGGCATGATTCTAAAGGGAGTGCATGAGCAGAGGGACCTGGGTGTGTTGTGCTCAGGTCATTGAAGGTAGCACAGCAAGAGGAGAGAGTAGATGGTAAAGCATCCTGGGCTTCATTAACAGGGACAAGAGCAAGGAGGTGATGCTGAACTTCCACAAAGCACTTGTTAGACCTCAGCTGGAGTATTGTGTATAGTTCTGGGCATTACAAATAAGAGGATGTGAATGCATCGGAAAGAACGCAGAAGAGATTTGCAAAATGGAGGACAGATTGAAGAGGGTAAGGTTGTTTATCTTGCAGAAAAGGCTGAGGGGATATCAGTTTTCAAAATCATGAGGGGTCTGGATTGAGTGAATAGAAGAACCTATTCCCTTTTGTAAAAGGATGGTGAATGAGAGGGCACGGATTTAAAGTGATTTGTAAAGTAGCAAATATGATTCAGAAAACAACTTTTCCACACAGAGTAGTTCAGAGTTGGAATACACTGCCTGGAAGTGTGCTGGAGGTAGGTTCAAGTGAGATATTCAAGAGGGCATTGGATGACTAGCTGAATAGAAACAATGTGCAAGAGTCTGGGGAAGGGTCACCAGGTCATAATGCTCATTGGGGAGTCAGTCCAGAATCCCTAGGCTGAATGGCCTCCTCTGTGCTGTACCAATTCTGTGATTCTGTGACAGCTTTCTGATCAGGACAATTTGCTGATATCTGAGGCTCCTGTCTCAAATGGGAACTGTCTTGGAGAAAAGGCAGAGTCCCATCCAGACACCACCCTGGGATGCAAGGAGCAGCGCAAGAGGCAAGTACCATCCAGAGTCCTGGATTCAAGATTCCTCAGACAAGAGCGCACTGCAGGAACCTGTCACTCGCTGCTCCTGGACTTCACTAGAATCTGGGTGAGAGGAATTGGAATATTTTAATTTAGCATCCTGCAGGGCGCTTTCACTCAGCTGGGGCAAAAGCAATTAAGTTGGCACAAAGTACAAGAGGATTTTACATTTTTTAATTGCAAAAATATACTTTATCCATAAAAGATATCTTTATATATATATACACAGGTACTGAAGCAGTTGTGTACTGTCTTGGCATATAAAGAAAAACAGACATTGGAATTTGACATCAAATAGAGTTGTAAAACCAATGGCATTTCCTACTCATGCAGGACACTACTTGAGGCAACATCTTTCTAATCAGCCTGTTCAGGGAGATTTTACATTACTCTGCAATAGGATCAGACTGTGCCTGCCCTGGCACCAGTTCCTAAGAGGCGAAAGTATATTCCCACTGTCATTTCAATAAGTACATGACAGCATTTTGTTAAGTTTCCAGTTCTATCACATTTGAATGAAAGTTTTAAATACTGATGTTATTACTTCGAAAGTGAATTTGTATTAATCGAGAAAGTATCAGCGTTCCTGAGCTACAGGGGCACGATCCTGGTGTTAGGGGCATTGTCGATAACTGTCGACATGTGCTATTTAAATTGAAGTTTAAAATTGACCAACTTTAACATTTAAAAACAGCTTTGCAGCTTATCGGATTGCCTCGCGGTTTTGGAATGGAAGAAGGACTTTTTGCCTTTTTGTTTGGTGTTTCACTCGTTCCTGATGTTCACATTCACAACAACTGCCTTTTTGTCTGCAGCTCCGAGGACATCAACAGCTCATCTACTTTAATTCTTTCCCTTCATTTCAAGAACGCGGAAGCATTGATCCTCCACAGAGAACCTTCCTTCATCACGAGTGGGAAACGGAATCTCTTTCGCTCTCCTTGCAATCCCTCCCTGCTCTGGGGTTAGGATTCAAGAGCAGTTTGTCAAGTGCGTAACTGGGAGGAGAACAAAACGGTCGGTCAAATACAATTAAATCAGAATAAAATAATTACTTTCGGGAAAAGGAATCCACTTTCTGTGATGGCAGTCTGGTTGATTTTTGGTGTAAATAATGAGTGGGTTTGTGCCCTCCCAGGCAGAGTGGCACAGTCAGCGGCAGTGGGGTTGACAGGGCGTGGGGACACTGCACTGAGCAATTCCATCAAACTGACCTCCCCTTGTCCCCCCTCACTCCTCATCCACCGGCCGGGCACCAAGCAGTCAGTACCGCTTCTACATCTCAGTCCATCCTCCACGTCTTTGTCCTTCTCTTCAAAATAGAACTTGGATTTTGTTAGAAGTCCGGTACAAAATCTAATATGAGAGGCTTTGTCGCAATTTTGTTGGCTTGTTTTTCTCAGTTGCCGCGCTTCATTCCTGAAATGAAACTTCAGAGTAACTCGAAAACAGAAAGATCCAGGAGCTGCTGAGCAGAGGCAGCGCTCTGAAAGCCTTTTTAAGAAGATGCTAATCACGTTCCTTGGTTCTCGCTCCAACATGATCGAGAGCTCTCGGCTCACCAATAAAAATCCCACTGGAAGAAACCATTGACTGCTGTTTTCCCGGGAAAGTAGATCTCACTGAGCTCCTATAAATACAGCTGGAGGGGAGTTTGGGAGCCCAGGCACTAGGTGCACCCTCAGTGAGATGGAAAACTACACTTCAGCAGAAAATGTGACTTGGGAAGCCCCAACTTCCTCGGCGATGTTGAATCTCACTGACTACCGGAATAGCCCTGCTGTAAATGTCAGTAATGTGACTGGGGTTGAGGTGACCAGCACCTGGAGCCAAGTAGCTTCAGCCCCGGATGATGTTGACCGTGCTCCTGTGGCCCGGGCTGCCTGGGAGCCCCTCCTCAGCCAATGGATCAATGTGCTAGTGGCGGGTGTGCTGACCCTCACCATGCTGGGCCTGGGCTGTACTGTACAAGTCCGCCAGCTCGGACACCACCTCCGCAGCCCCGTGGCCCCGCTGCTCGCTGCCGCCTCCCAGTTTGTGATCATGCCCCTGGTGGCCTTCCTCTTGGCCCTGGCCTTCTCCCTGGGGGAGGTCGCAGCCACAGCGGTGCTGCTGTGTGGTTGTTGTCCCGGGGGGAATCTCTCCAACATCCTCTCCGTGCTGGTTCACGGAGACATGAACCTCAGGTAAGCCGCCCCTCTGCAACCAGTCACTCCAGCTCATTCCCACTCTCCCACCAATCTGGTTAGATCGCCCGCACCAACGTGAGCTAAAGAAAGGCTTTAAAACATGCCCAGCCATTGTATCTTGGAAGTTTAGATCAGGAATGGCGTGAAGGAGCCGGGCAACAGCTGGGGCCAGACTCTGGTCTCACATCCCATCGCGAATAAGCTATCAACTCCCTGTAAATGAGACTTGGTCTCCAGGATGGAGGAGCGGGGCCGCTGGAATTAGTGGAATTTTCAGTGAGGGGTGAACGTAAAGGAGTGGGGTGGGGCTGAGGGAGTGGGTGGAGGTGAGGGTGAATGAGGGCAGACATGGGGGAGAGTGAGGAGTGGTAGTGAGGGAGAATGAGGGTAGACATGGGGGAGAGTGAGAGGTGGTAGTGAGGGAAGATGCAGAAGTGAAGGAGGATGGAGAGATGTGCAGGCTGGAGACAATGTTAAGGAGATGGTGGGGATCAGTACAAGTCTTCTTTGTCGCAGAGACAGTGCTGCATGGCTCCAGACTGCGTTGGTTGGAGAATGATAGTGTAGACAGTGAATAAACTGTGGTGCTGCACACAGACCTGATGCTGCATTGTTCAGTCTAATTTATTTTGTCCTTTCCTTTTTTTAGCATAATCATGACTATCTCTTCCACACTTCTGGCCCTGCTGCTGATGCCCTTGTGTCTATGGATTTACAGCCGAGCCTGGATTAATACCCCTGTTGTTCAGCTCATGCCCTTCGGTGCAATAATTCTTACACTATGTGGCACTCTAATTCCGATTGGGCTCGGGGTCTTCATCAGATATAGATACAACAGAGCAGCAGACTTCCTCCTAAAGGTACAGTGACTGAAAAGGTGTAAGCTTGTTGAGATTGTTTGAAACCGTCCTCTTTTATTGTTCATACTATGTAAAATCTGGTCAAAGAACAGAACCTTTAGGCTTCTTCAGAATAACACAGACATTGTAGTAAATCATATGAAATTTAAAAATGAATCACGGTCATTAAAGGTAACCTGATCATGTGAACATTGACAAAAGCATAAAATATGTTTTTCTTTTTAACAAATACCATCAGCAATGATTACATTTTAAGGTTTGCCTTGCAACAGAACTGATATTACAATGATGAAATCATCTCATCGCCAGCAGACTCCATTAGAAATTCATCCGGTCAGCACAATTACATAATAATTAATTTTTATAAAGGTGTTTTGACTGAAGATATAAATGGTTTTTCTAGGGTTTGCTCACATTTTAAGAATTTTTCCTTTCAAAGTATTGCCAGTCAAATTGACATAATGAGGCTCCAGTCTCTTCCAGTGTAATTTACAAAGCACATGACAAACAGATCCTACAATAATTGAACTCTTACAGGTCTGTCAAAGAAGTTGGGCTCGTGCGTTGAACACTGAGAACAAAAATCACAATTAATAGATAATTGAGATCAGAACCACAATAAACTCCGAGCAGATCAGGCAGTAAATGTGGATAGAACATGCAATTTTATGTTCAGGGTGTGAACCCTTCAAAGACAGTTTTGGCCAGTTCCACTCCCACTCTGCCCTCCTTACTGGGAGGGAATTACATTTATATGTTCGGATAAAAGTGAAATGTTTAACACAACTGCTGACCTTTTAGTTTGGAAAGAGTAGACCATATAATTTGTTTTGTAATAATATTAAAGCATTCTTATTGTATGAGGTGCCTAAAGATCCAAAAGACCATTTCAAACATTTCTTCACATTTAAGTAGGGGTTTGTACTCACCTTGTGTAAAGCTTAAATCATGTGAGAGAGCACTTTAGCAATATTTCTATGACTAAAACTGTAGTTCTCTATTAACCTCCTTCAAATGAGTCTCATTTAAGGTCTCAATCACAGTTTTCTCAAGCAAAAGTCTAACATTTTAAATGAAAACAAAGATTTAAGCATAGTGTTATTACTTTTCTCACTGCCGTGAAATTCCAATAAAACCAATACATATTATACTAATGAACAGAGTTCCAGTGCAGATGGTGGCACTCTGTCGTCTGACTCAGATGGCTGTGGGTTCATGAGCAATGATCAGATTGTCTACTTAATCTATGCTGACCTTACAATGCAGTTTTTGTTGTCCTTTAGAATTGATTTAGAGAGATACAATCTATTTCTGAGATTCAAGCAGTTTTTAAAATCTTACAACACTATACTATCTTAATAATTAAGATATGAAAGTATTGTAAAAGAAAATTACGTACCACAACTTATATGTCTTTCAGGAGTGTTCTTTTAGCCTGAGGTTGTTGAACATAAAAGGCAAGCTATATAATCAGATCAATGCAATACAACTGTGATCTAAAACTGCAAGTTCTCTTCCTCTGACAAGACTACTTGGTTGAAACTTTGGCTTTGAGATTTCCTTATTTTACTTCCACAAAGTATAAACTGAATTCCTGCGCTCTGTAAAATATTTCAAATGCAGGTTTCAGTTCTGGATGATATTGTGAAATGTTTGCTTCATTACATAATTGCGTAATTTTATATAGTTGTTATTCTCTCTTCCTGTTTATATCAAAAGATTTATAATTTACTTCAAGGTACTATTAGAAAATCGGTAAATGCTGCTATTTGCTTGTGGTGAATATAAGTTTGAAGAGCAGAAATTAAATGTGACCCAAGTAAATATTTTACAGTAACCCACAGGATGGAAACTCTCAAATTTCTTTTGGCAATGTAAATGGGAACTGTAGATTCAAATTAGTTTATACTTCAATCTCTTTGAGCAAGTAAGATTATCCAGGACCACAGTGAAATTACACCTGGAGCACTGTGTATAGGTTAGTCTTCAAACCGAAGGAAGGACGTACATACTGTGGAGCAAATATATGGTAACAATTCATTAGGTGGATTCCTAAAATGTTCTCTGGGAAGGGGTTTAGTAGATGAGGTCCATATTACCTAGAATTTAGAAGAATGAAAGAGGATCTTGTTGAAACATGCAGTATAACATTATTAAGAGCTTGACAGGGAAGATTCAGGGAGGTGTTTTCCCTGGTTGGAGAGCCTAGAATGAGGATCGCAGTCACAGAATAAGGGGTCAGTTCCTTACCTGTATACGATTTCACTCATTCTCTTGGAGTCAAAATAGCACTCATAGTTGTTGGTCTTTTGTATTAAGCTAAATCCCATTGAACTTTATTACTCTGGAATTTACATGATCAATCAATGATTTTCCTTGCTTGGAAAATGCATTATTTGGGTCACCAACCATTGCTAGTGTGAATTATATCTTGTGGTTCACTTGAATCAGTCCTGCATTTTGTCTTCTAACTTGGATGTTGAAGTAAGTTTTATTTGATTGATTCAAATCTCCCATTAAACAAAGCTTCTTTTTTCTTTTCACTTTTCACATATCTGTATTACTTTAATATTCTTTTGCTGCTAATTTTGACCTGACAGGCTTTCACTCATTTCTGATGTTAGCTTTATCCCATCAAAATGGATTGATATATGATTTTCTCATTAGGTTGGATAATATAATTAATTGCTGAGGTGATTGCTTCATATGTAAACCGTCGCTCAGATTTCCAGCTTTTTAAAAAAAATAATATAAACATCTAATCTTCTGAAATACCAAACCTCCCCAATATGCCTATATGTTCTAGTTTTTGATTCACATTCTGAAAGTTCACCCAGACAACCACATTTACCATCTAAAAAATAGTTAGAGCTAACATTTCCACAGTGAGTTCTTGCTTCATAGATGATAAGGAACATTACCATTTTACAACCAAAATGTGTGTGCTGCTAATGTCTGTTCCCTCACACAACCAACTTTCTGAGCCTTTGTGGCAAACTTACATCAAGTTCAAAAGCACACACCTTGCAATTTTCAGTATGTAGGACCAGGAGTTGGCTATTCAACTCTTCCAGCATTCGGTGAGATTGCAGCTGATCGGTGAACAAACTCCACATATCTGCCTTTGTCATTATTTGCTAATACCTTTGTTTAACAAATGTATATCAATCTCGGACTTAAAATGAACATTTGATCTAACATTAATTTCCATTTGTGGAAGAAAGTTCAAATTGTCTGTATCCCTTTCTGTGTGCAAGTTTTTCCTCATTTCACTCTTTAAAGGAATGGCTGTCATTTGAGATTATGTCCCCTCGCCCTATTTGATTCCTTTAATATCCTGAAAACTTCAACTAAGATGTTTTAATGTTATAAATTCCAGGTACTTTTTTTTTTGAAACGTGGATATAACTGGCTAGCTACATCAGTTTTTGTTGCTTGTCCATCAGAATCATAGAATCCCTACAGTGTGGAAGCAGTCCCATTGATTCCACACCGACCTTCCAAAGAGCATCCCACCCAGATCCAACCCCCTACCCTACCCCTGTAACCCTGTATTTCCCATGGCCAATCCACCTAACTTATACATCTTTGGACTGTGGGAGGAAACCCAAGCAAGCATGGGCAGAATGTACAAACTCCACACACAGACACAAACTGGGTCTCTGGCACTGTGAGGCAATAGTGCTAATCACTAAGCCACCAAGAAATTGGAGATGAACCATCTTCTTGAACTGTTGCAGTCCATATGCTATTAGGAAGGGAGTTCTAGGATTTTGACCCTGCTGCAGTAAAGGAATGATGATATATTTCCAAGTCAAGAAGGTGTGTGGCAATGAGGGAGACATCCAGATTCCATGTTTCTCTTGTCCTTGCCCTTCTAGGTGGCATAGGTCATGCTTTTGAATGTGTTGCTGGAAGAGGCTCGTCTAGATGGTACACAATGCTGCAACTATACATTAGAGTGGAGGAAATCACTGTGTAAGATGCTGAATGAGGTGCAGATCAAACAATTGCTTTATTTTTGATTTTGTCAAGCCTGTTAAGTGTTTTTGGAGCTAGGCAAGTGGAGAATATTTCATCATACTCCTGAATTATGACTTGTGGACATTTTTGGGGATATTTTTCTTTATTCGTTTCTTTCTTCATTCACGTGATGAAGGCGTCGCTGGCTAGGCAGCATTTATTGCCCATCTTAATTGCCCAGAGGGCAGTTAAGAGTCAACCACATTGCTGTGAGTCTGGAGTCACATTAGGCCAGACGAGGTAAGGATGGTAGTCTCCTTCCCTGAAGGTTGTTAGTGAATCAGATGGGATTTGCCGACAATCGACAGTGGATTCAAAGTCATCATTAGATTCTGAATTCAAATTCCACCATCTGCCATGGCAGGATTTGAACCTGGCTCCCCAGAACGTTATCTGGGTCTCTGGATTAACAGTCCATCGATAATACCACTAGGCCATCGCCTCATTCTGCCCAAGCTGGGTTGGGTTTCCTCCCACAGTCCAAAGTAAGGAGGTGAATCCTGTTTTTGACCTACTCTTGTTGTCACAATATTTATCACTAGTCCAATTAAGTTTCTCCACGTTAGTTGTGGAGGATTCAGCAAGGATAATATCATGGCAAGATAGTTAGATACTTATTGGAGATGGTCATTTACTGTCTCTTATGTGGCACAGATGTTGCCCAGATCTCATTACATATCCACACAGGCATCTTCAATATGTAAGGAATCATGAATCATACTGAACACTGTGTATTGATCAGAAAACATTTCCAATTCTGATCTTATGGTAGAGGGAAAGTCATTGCTGAAGCAGCTGAAGATGGTTGGGCTGAGGACACTACCCTGAGAAACTCCTGCAGAGATGTTCTGTAGTTCAGATTATTGGCCTCAATCATTCACAAAGATTTTCGTTGTACGAGGCATTAATTCAACCAGTGGAGTGATACTCTCATTGACTCACTGCCTTACTTGGTCAGAAGCTGCCTTAATGTCATCACTTCGTTGATTATCAAGAGTAAACTGACTGGAATGTAAATTGGCTGATTTGGATTTGTCCTGCTTTTTACAGACAGGATATACTCAGGCAATTTTTACACATTGTCATACATAGAACATTACAGCGCACATTACCCTTGATGTTGCGCCGACCTGTGAAACCAATCTGAAGTCCATTTAACCTACACTATTGCATTATCATCCATATGTTTATCCAATGACCATTTAAATGCCCTTAAAGTTGGCGCGTCTACTACTGTTGCAGGCAGGGCATTCCATACATAAATACTAATGTTGAAGTTTTACAGGAACAGATTGGTAAGGGTTATAGAGCATATTTCTTCAGTACTCCAGTTAGAATATTGTCAGGTCCCATAGCCTTTGCAGTGTCCAGTGCCTTTAGCCATTTTTTGAGATCGCATGGAATGATAAGAATTGGGTGATGACCAGAACAAACACAGAGAATGCTGGATAATCTCAGGAAATCTTTTACCATCTGCTGAGAGAGAAACAAAGTGAAGGCTTTGAGTCTGGTATAACTCTTAGTCATATTGGACTTGAAATGTTTACTCTGTTTTTCTCTCTACAGGTGCTGCCAGACCTGCTGAACTTCTTCAGCAGTTTTTGTGTTTGTTTCAGATTTCCAGCATCTGCAGTATTTTGCTTTTATTCTAGGTGAAGCCTGGCATTTGTGATTATTATTACTTCAGGAAGGAGTCAAGAAGGACCAATCACTTGGCATTTCCACCTGAAAATCATTGCAAATAATTTGGCCTGGTCTTTTCCCTTCTGTACTGGGCTCCACTAATGAGGATGGGGTTATTTGTGACCTCTCCTGGTTAGTTGTTTAATTATCCATCATGCTCATTAAATCATCCTACGACATTCAATGATTATCTATTATGCTCATGATTGAATGTCATGGGACTGCAGAATTTAGATGTGATATGTTGGTTTGGAATCACTTTGCTGTATGCATTACGTGCTTCTCTCCCTGTTTGGCATACGTGATCATGTTGTAGCTTCACAAGTCTGACACCTCATTTTTAGGGATGCCTGGTGCTTCCTCTGGCTTGCCATCCTACACTCTTCATTGAACTACGATTGATTCCCTGGTTTTATGGTGATGACAACATGACATACACAGTGGGCCATGAGATTATGGATAGTGGACTGACAACACCTAGTTTTCAGCAACTAGAACTATTCTGAATCTATCCCAATGAGCACAGTGATAATGCCCCATAGCACAATAGATGGCATTCTCAACATGTTGATGAAATTTTGTCTATCACTGTTACTGTCATGAACAGATAATCTTCAATAGGCAGATTGACAAAGCTGACACCAAGTAAGTTTTTCCCTCATGTTTGATCTCTCACCAGCTGCCACAGGCCCAGTGTGGCAGATATGTCATAGATTCATAGTTGTACAGCTTGGAAACAGACCCTTTGGTTCAACTCATCCATGCTGACCATATATCCTAAATTAATCTATTCCCATTTGCCAGTATTTGGCCCATATCCCTCTAAATCCTTTCTATTCATGGACCCATCCAGATGCCTTTTAAATGTTTTTGCACCAGCCTCCACTACTTCCTCTGGGAGCTCATTCCATAAATGCACCACACTGTGAGTAAAAGTTGACACTTAGGTACCTTTTAAATCTTTCTCCTCTCACCTTAAACCTATGCCCACTAGTTATGGACTCCCTGACCCTGGGAAAAAGACCTATCATGATTTTATTAACCTCTAAAAGGCCACTCCTCTTCCTCCAACGCTCCAGGAAAATAGCCGCAGCTTATTCAGTCTCTCCCTACAGCTCAAACCCTCCAATCCTGGCAAATTCTTTTCTGCACCCTTTCAAATTTAACAACATCTTTCCTATAGCAGGGAGACCAAAATTGACTCAATATTCCAAAAGTGAACTAACCAATATACTGTACAGCTGCAACATGACATCCCAACTCCTATACTCACCAATAAGGTACCGAATGCTTTCTTCACTACCCTGTCTACTTGTGATTCCACCTTCAAGGAACTCCTTCAGGAGTCAGTCAGTAGTTGTGACACTGAGCCACTATTAGTAATAGGCAATGAAGTTCGCAACCAATGCTTCTTCCAAATGGTTTCAAGATGGAGGACAGCACTTAGGAAGGGTGATAAGTGTCCTCAGCAGGATGTTTCCTTGCTCAATACAAGAGCAACGATGGGGTCTTCCCACCCAGATGAATACCAGTCCTGTAACCTCTATCTCTCAGTCCCAATGATAAGATAGACCTAGGGATAGTGACATATGGGACAATGCTTGTGAGTGGAACTATGTCAGGCCATTGCTTGACTAATCTATGCAAATATGCATTCACTTTTTCCAAATACTCTGAGAGGTTAGAAAGGAGGACTTTGCAGGGTCAGCTGGCTAAGATGTTCTCTTTTAATTCCTGGTATCTAGGTCAATGCTCAGTGGTTTTCTTTTTGCTTAATTGTCTATCATGGTCTGATGGAACTATGTGGCTTTGGCCATTTGAGAGAGCATTTAAGGGTCAAGCACAATACGTGCTCCTTCAGTCAGATGTAGGGTAAACTAGGTAAAACAGTTTGAACTATATTCACTGAAGTTTGGGAGAATAAGGGGAATCTGATAGAAATGTATCAAATTCTCACAGGACTAGGCAGGAAGGACGTTCCTGATGACCAGGGAGTCCAGAACCAGGAATCACAGTATAAGGACATGGGATAGGCCATTTAGATCTGAGTTGAGGAGAAGTGTCTTCACCAGAGACCAATGAGCCTGTGGAATTCTCTGCCACAGAAGGTGGCTGAGGACAAAACATTAGATGTTTTCAAGAAGGAGCTAGATATAGTTCTCAGGGCTAAAGTGTTCAAAGGCTATGGGGAGAAAGGGATCAACTGGGTATTGTTGGATAATCAGCCATGATCATATTGAATGGCACAGGAGACTTGAAGGGCTGAATGGCCGAATCCTACTTCATAAAAGAGCATCACTGAACTGGGTTGGTTTCCACAATAATCTGATAATTTTGGGGTAACTATTACTAAGCAACTCTGAATTCCAGATTTACTAATTAATTTAAATTTCACTTTTTGCCATGTGCTCCATTAGGCCAGACTTCTACATTTTTAGTCTAGTAAAATTATCACCGAACACATTTCCTCAATATAGTATGTAGAACCACTTACAGTATTACAGTTCAGGTCTGTACAGGGCTTAGCATAGCTGAAACATGATTTCTTTAACTTGCTATGGAATGCAGGCATTGCTGGCAGGGTGGTATTAATTGCCTAACACTAATGTGGTTTGATGTTGCCACATCAGATGGCAATTAACAGTCAACCGTCAACTGTCAACCGTTATTGTGGGTCTGGAGTCATATGTTGGCTAGAATGGGTAAGGACAGCAGAATTTCTTCCCCTAAAGGACATTTGTGAATCTGATGGATTTTTACAATAATGATACTTTCACAACCCCCATCACTGAGACAGGTGTCAACTTCAGATTTATTAAGTGAATTTACATTCCAGCAGCTTCAACTTGAATTCACATTGACCAGTTCTGACATTATCACCAACATCCCCATCTCTGCCACTTGTATTCTAGTCATTTGGTACAAAGGCATCACTCCATCAAGCTTTCTGATTTTATTCTATACCTGTTTGATATTTTAATAATCAGTATACTATGCTTCTAAGTCTCTTTTGACCGCCACTACTTCTAGCTTTGTGCCATTTAGAAACGTTTTTATTTCTTTTTTAGGTCCAAGGTGGCTGATGTCACATTTAGAAAATGGCTGTAAAAATATTTAAATTAATAAAAGGTGTAAAATTTGCATACAGCGAACTTATTTAACTATTCCTTGTCTAGATTTCTCTATGGTCTTTGATGGTCACGCTGATACTCCTCTTCATTCTCACCGGCACCTTACTGGGACCTGATCTCCTTGCTACTATCCCGGCTTCTGTGTACATTGTAGCTCTGCTGATGCCGTTGGCTGGCTACGTTGCTGGTTATGGTTTGGGTACTCTCTTCAATTTGCCTCCTAACTGTAAAAGGACCGTTTCTTTGGGGACTGGATGTCAAAACGTCCAACTCTGCACAGCCATCCTGAAATTAGCTTTCCCTCCCCAGGTTATTGGCGGCATCTACATGTTCCCGCTGCTCTACGCGTTATTCCAAGTAACAGAAGCTGGCCTTTTTGTTTTGGGATATAAAATTTACAGAAGGAACATAGCGCCCATGGTAAAACCAGCAGACTTCGATGCTGACACAGACATTTCGTACAAGCAGCTCAAAGAGAAAGAAGTTACCGATTTATCTTATGGAGCCGTTCATGAGAGTGAACAACACGCTGTCATAATGGAACCTACTATGAGCGAGACACAAATGTGAAAAGGGACTGCTATGAAATAAAAATAGCAATGAGCTACCGCTATACGGCTGCTGTCCGCCAATCCCTTCAATTGATCGTTATCCCCGGCATTTTCACGTGCTCTGTGCAATGCTGCTTTCCTGTTTGGGGAAAATGAGAATGAACTGCTTTGATTTTTGAATTTAATCAATGAGTCGTTTGAGTACAAATTATTTTGTAATTGTTGGGCTCTCGGTGTAAATTGCCGAGAAACAATGACCTTCCAGGACAACCACGTATCCGAATACTTTAGGTTGGTAAATTCAAACCTGTTAGTGTTTAATTAAGAACTTTAAAAGAAACGTGAACAGTATTCATTTACTATACTTCTAAACTAGCAGAGACTCGCCAAATAATTTGCATTTTCTCTATAGAATAATTGGAGCCATAAGAAGTTATACTGTTTCTTTCAGGGCAGTTTTTGTTCTAATTGCCATGTTTTGTTCGCTCATTGCTAATAAAAGTCCCCCGAAAGCTGTGAGTGGAGCTTGTTAAATTGATTTAATAGATTCAACCATTGGGATTTTTACACTGACTGGGTGGACTATATAAATAAAGCCACGGAGATCTGGCCTTGGCCTAACATTATGGCTACATTAGGTGAAGATGCGTTTGATTATATTTACTCACCGTATAATCCCTACTCTTACCAATACTTGAGCAGCCGACCGAAAGCTTCGAGTTGGAGACCGAGGAGTTACTTGAACTATGGTGACCCTGGGGAATATTTTGATAACTATCAGCGGGCGCAGCTCAAAGCAATATTATCCCAGGTGAACCCCAACCTAACACCACGGGTGAGAAAAGCCAACACGAAAGATGTTGGAGTCCAGGTTAACCCCAAAATTGATGCGTCTGTGCAGTGTTCGCTGGGCCCCAGGACCCTCATGATGATGACCACGAGGCAGAGGCGCCGGCCCCCTCCGAACCAAGTGCAGGGCAGCCCGGCCAGTATGCCCAGGAATGTGCGGTTCCGGAGGACCATGGCCATCTACTCCCCGATTGTATCCCCCAATCTCAACAGTTTCGTATACAGGGGAGAGCCGCGGGAGGCTGGCAGACAGGGCCCCAAAGAAGCACCCGCGAAGCCACAGCAGGAAGAGAAAGACGAGCCTGAAGGAGTGAAACAAGAGGACGGCGTCCAGGAGGAACCGGCCCCGGAGCAGGAGCAGGAACCAGCCCCGGAGCAAGGTCCGACGCCTGAAGAGAAAGGCGATGAACCCACCGACTGCCTGGCCCTTCCAGCCGGGGAACTGCCTGAAGCTCCAGTAGAAAATGAGAACGAGCCGGAGGCTGGAAACGCGGTCACTAAAACCAGCAAAAACGAAAAACGCTTGAGATTTCAGGTGAGGTTCTTCTCCCTCCCCAGGTTCCAATCGCTAAATTACAAGCCAGATCAGGCAGCATCTGTAGAGAAACCGTTCACCAGTCGAGTAAAGACTCCCTTTCAGAACTCTTGCAGAGATAGGAACTGCAGATGCTGGAGAAACTGAGACAACCAGGTGTAGAGCTGGATGAACACTGCAGGCCAAGCAGCATCATAGGAGCCGGAA